GTCCGGACTGCTGTCAAACCTGGAGGCGTCTCCTGCTTCCAGCCAGCCCTTTCTGAGCCTTTCCTGGCCGTCTCTGCGTCCCTGGCCAACACCTTCCCGGCCCACATCACCGTCCCTTGACCTTTTTTTGGCTCCTCGGCCATTCTGTGACTGTCGCTTCACTTTCCCAGCGTTTTCTCTTCTTAATAATTTTCTCTTCTCTGTCATTTGTTAGGTCCACAAGTTTCACCATCCTTATATATATTTGCATTCTTGTTCGTTTTCTTTCCCGATTTTATTCCTCTCCGTTCTGTCTCCCTTTCTCTTTTTGCTTCAAGTTTTGCTTCCCAATAGATTCTTACTTTGTCTTACTTTTCGTTAATTCAAATCCCTCCCCATCCTCCCCTCTCCACCTAAGAAAAAGGAAATCTTGCCTTTTCTGGTACCCCATCCAGAAGTATCACTGGGAGATTATCTCCTTAACTCTTTCACTTCTTGTGGGTTGTAAGTTTGATCCTAGAAAATGTTAGTGTAACTGGTCAGTTACCCCTTAACTAAGTTTTTCCTGTGAAGAACAGCAGAAAAGATGGATTAGATTTCTACAGATTTAAGTAACTGCCTTGTATGTTGCACACTGACCAGACTGCTCTTAAAAATATTTATACTCTTGTTTCTTTTACAACGAGTGCCTTCTGGCTGAACTTACTGTTAACTTTAATGCATTAATCTTTGTTGCTGCCACGGTGGGCAGGAGGCTGTCCGCCCCCCCCCCCCGTATTTAAGTTTGATTTTACGTATTTTTATGGCACGATTGTTGTTGTATTTGGCATGCATATGGCACGTATTTTCCCTTACCTGTCAAATTCTTTGAAGGGGTAGTTGGTTTTTTTTATGTTTGCTGTTATGTTTTGTCCCTTGTGAATTGTGACAAAACCTTGAAAACACATTACACAGTTGTGTGTTTTCTAAACTAGGAGGGAGCATGGTCATTAGTAATTCTAAATATAAAAAAGATTTTAGGGATTTCTCCCTTTCCCCGCTCACAGTAGGTTTGCATTTCTGATTACATGTTATATTTTGATTAGGCTATCTCAAAATGCATTCCTATTCCTCAGGTACTAGGTAGTGAAAATGTGACTATCTCAAGTTTGCTGGGTGGCAACTGGCCAGAAGGATAGCGAATATGCCACATGTTGATGGTCTGGAGAGGAATAGGTATTCCTTTGTAGTTTTTTGTTTGAATGTACAACGACTCTTATTGTTAATATAGTGGAAATAAATTTTCAGAGTTAAAATCCATATTGTTGCTTATTGAATGTGAAGACTGAGATAGAAATTGACTTGGTGACTGTGCAAGGTGGGAGATCATAGGTAATGAAAAATCCTAATCACAGAAGAAATTATTAAAATCTTCGCTGGAAGAAGAGTGTGTCTATTGCTTCTTCCACCTTTGCTTTCTTTAGTCTCTTATCAAGTGTCTTCTGTTACAAGCCACTCAATAAATATCTGTTGGAAAACTAGGCTAATCTGTTCTCAAGAATTTCGGTAGTCATATTCCAGAACACTGAGTTGTCTTGATTTTTCAAAGGTGGAAAAACATTTTCAGCCATTATTGTGGAGAATTTTCATGAACATTTTCAAGTTAAAATTAAAGCATTTTAGCCATTAGCTAGTTTTAATCCCCATCTATTAATTTTTTTTAAAGTGGTTGCCTTTTTGATGTCGTTTTTCTTAATTTATTGTTAAGATTGCAAATTGCACAGTACTTTACCTAGAGATATTGGTAATCATTCAAATTTCTTAAAAATTTGACAATTATTTTAACATCTCATGTAATGTTTTAAAAATTCTGTTTAATCCCTTATACATTTTATACATCAGAATCTAACTATTTTTTTTTCTCTTGAGGTAGTGAAAAGAGAATCCTGAAGAATAGGATCTCAAGATGAGTAAAAAGCCCCCAAATCGTCCTGGAATCACTTTTGAGATTGGTGCTCGTTTGGAGGCACTGGACTACTTACAAAAATGGTATGGAAAATACGGAGCTGTTGACTTAAAGCACAGTATCTGTAGTCTTACATGGGTTGGTTAATTGCTGTTCTTCTGACAGTGGTAGAGACATTGTCATGTTCACATTTTGAATAAACATGTACATTGTTTTTTCATTTTCTTACTCTTCAACTGATTTTGCAGGTAGCAGTACTCTTGTATACTTAATACGAGCTCTGTTGGTGGTGGGAGGGAGAGGATTAATCCAGATAACCTGGTTCTCAGGTTTTGAGATAAAACTTGATGTAAATCTGTTTTCCTGGCTTATGTTAGAGGTGGTCTTTCAGACTACAGAATATACTGATGGTCAGCATAGGCACTATTCACTGTCCCATGTAAAACCAAAACTCAGTTTACCTCCTCCTTCTCCAGAGCACAGGGGCCTGAAGTCAGGTTATCACTGTCCCCAGTTTTACCTGATTAGTCCTTTCAGACCTTCTCTTATTTCTTCTCCTATACTGGCTATCTGTGATAAGTGGCAAATTCAGACGCCTCCAACATACCCCTGTATACGATGGAGTAGGAGAAATTGGTTACCTGAGGTGAAACCACCACCTGGAAAGATGAGAAGGGGAAACAGCACACAAGGATCGCTGGGCCTCGGTAGGAATAAGGAGGATTCTCGTTCTGCTAGGGAATGCCCCCCTCATTCTGGTTAGCTGCCTCTAGTTCTGCTCTCTGGGTGATGTCTCTGGTGCCATTCTCAGCCCCATGCTCTGAGAGGGGCGTTGGAGAGGCTCTTCTCCTGGGAGTGGTTCAGGCTCAGCTCCTCTTGAAGCCCATTTATTTTGATAAGGGGTCTGGCAGTTTAACAAGGCTACCAGACTTTTTCTTCTCTCTTTCTTTCTTTCTTCCTTTCTTTCTTTCTTTTTTTTTTTTTTTTTGACATTTTCCTCTCGACTATGACTCCCTTAAAAATGTAGTGGGCATTTTGTAGATTTGTCTTTGATTGATTTCTGTTAGGTCAACTTCCTGAGTTGACAATGGCAGGCAGAGAAATCTTGTTTAGTCATGATATTTGACTTTAGACCAGCGTGGGGTTTTTGTCTCTTAGCATCCGGTGTTAGAACTCTGCACACATCCATGACCCCCAGCTTAATGGGCTCTGCTTGGGACTGTTTGAAACTGCAGTTTGAGATGGGAAGAAACCGTCATTTGGCCCCATGCCTCCAAGCTGCATCTCTGGGAGTGCTGCTGCTTAGGAGACTTAAGAGTTACTCTTGTCAGGTGGCGAGTACGCAGTGTTCTCAGGAAGGGCTTGGGAAGTTCCTGGAAACCAGGCAGTAGCGTTCCTCCTAGTCCTGAAAGTAAAACGTGTCGCCAGATGTTGCCAGATGTTCCGGAGGTAGAGAAAGGGTGGAGCAGATATGCTTCTGATTGAGAACCACTGCATTAGACCAAACAACAGAAGATGCCATTTTAGTCAGTAATTGGCTCTCTTTGATTCTGATTTGACCAAGGAAGCTTTTTACTACTCTGAAGGCACACCCTAGTGAACCTCTTTGTGATGCAAGAGTATGAGAAATGCTACTTCTTACTTCTTTGATATTAATCTTAGTTAACCTTGTTATTTATTTTTTCTTTTTTTTTTTTAAAGTCATTGGCTTTTTTGAATTACCAGTTAATTCATATTATCCTTGCAAACCGACAAAGTTGCAGCTGAACTAGCTTCCAGTTTTGGAGAAGCACGTGGCTCATTAGTTCTCTCAGTGGCCTTGAGGGGTATTGATGTAATTAACTTTGGTATTAGTAAAAAACTCACTTTTTGTGGTGAAACATTTTCTAATTCAACAGCTGTTATATCCATGATCCAGTAGTTAATCAAAAAGATTATAAAAAAGAACTACTTATAAAATCAAGTCTGAGTTCCCTTTTAGAATATTTGGAATTTCAAAGAACAAATGACAGTTGTAGCTTAATTTTTTCATTTTCTGTGCTTCTGACCAAAAAATTTGTAAGTGCTTAGAGTGATATCATTCGGATGTACTCAGTGATGAAGTTTAGATTTAATTTTGATGACCCTAGTAATAGTCTTTTTAAGGTATGTAAACATTAGCCAAAATAAATCACATGTGATAATCATTGAAACATGCTGTCAGCTTGATTTTTATGAACTCATTTAAATGAAGATTTTAGCATTCTGCTATAGTGGCATTTCAATTAAAAAAGAGTTAAGAGTAAATACATATTCTAGGTAATTGAAAAGAAATGATTTTGTTGTTGTCACTTTGTTTATTAATGTCAGTAGTCTCAAGAACTCTTTAGGCTTGGGTGACCCTTTAATTTAGTATTAAAGTGCTTTGCTGTAGGACAGCTAATTAATTGCTAAGATTTACTGAATTTTGTAAGGGGCACAAAAGAAGGTCTGTAAGACATGGTGCTCTTAGCAGATTTTATTTCTAAATGAGATAAACTTAATTTTATATTGTTTCATTTAAGGGCCACTCTGTATTCCATATAAATTCCTTGAATTTTTGCTTTAATATCAGGTAAAATTATAGATGGACTATATAAGTGTTTAGAAACTTTGATATTCTTGTGAGGGCAAAATAATCCCTGAGAATATACTGAACTCATTCCCTTCCCTCTTTCATCCCTCCTTCTCTTTTCTTGCGTATTCTCTTCTGTTGCGTCCGTACTGAATGCTTAGTCTTTCGTATTTATTCGTTCAGTTGGAAAAGTACCGAGGTCCTATCTGACATAAATGTCTTTTGAATTATTAGAGGCATTGGATGGGGAGGGACAAGCAGGAATGCAAATATTCCTTCCTCTGTACTCAAGATATTTACAAGCAGCAATATATCTGTTACTAAGAGAATAACTCATCACATATTGATACATTAGCTTTTAGAGAAACGTACAAAGGGCAAGTTGTGGTAGTGGAGCACCCAAACGCCAGTTTGTCTTACATGTTGAAGACTTTTCTTATATAAAAAAAGGAGAATAGTTTTTAGTATGTGCCTTAGAAATAACAGGATAAAATCCAAATTTAGTGGGCAGAAATAAACTAAAGTTAAGCTCCCAGGTTTAGGTTTGGGGTAGATTTGATTTAATAGACACAACCTGTTTTTCTTTGAAAGAGTACATTGTTATTCATTGAGCGAGCCATATCACACATTCTTTAAAGTTCAGAAAGATATTTCATCTTTGAAAGTACACTCCACTTTTGAAAGTAGTGATTTATTACTTTTGCTTTCAAAGTGATTTTAAACCTACATCAAAAAGCCCTAGTTGTTTGATTCTTTACCAGTACTAATGAATGCAGGCCCTGAGAAGCCATTGAGAGCCCAGTCACCTTCAGTTCTAGTATGGAGAACGGGGTCTCTTCTACACTGACTAAACCTAATTCCTACTGAGAAGTGAGGGTTGCTTTTTTAAAAAAAAATTGTAGTTTCACTTAAAACATTTTGTTTAATTTGTTTCTCAACAGTCTTACTTTAAAAGTCATTTAAAAGACTTCAAATATGCTAATTTTTGTAGCTAACACAATCAACCATTTTCTATCATATTTTCCACCACAGCCTCTGTACATCCAAACCTGGACATATTTATTAGCTTTATAATCTATTGAATTAAGTAACACAGTAAGAATGAAAATAGATACACATTGTTGATACAGGAGTGTGTCTGGGAAAAGAGAAAGTTCAGAGTTGAAGTTATGTTTGAGACACTGTAAGTGGATTGTAAAGACAAAAGAGGCAGATTCAAATTCATACTGTCACTTTCTGATCGTGTGAATATGGGTAAGTCTTAGAACTTGGTTGGCTTAGCAGTAAAATGGAAGTAGTGTTACTGGCTTTTACTTACAGAATTATTTTAAGGATTAAGTAAAATAATGTATTTAAACTTGCTTCAAATTATCCAAAATAATAATTATTAGGCACTGAGGTAAATGAGTTGAAAAATAGACCTTTGGGGTTCCAAAGACTCAAGTGTAAAAGTTTTTAAATGTAGCCTTAGTATTGATGTGAGAATGGCCTGGAATGTAGAAGGGATGTCATGTCACTGCAACATGCTGTAAACCATCTTTTTAAGGTGATAATAAAATCTTTGTTTCTGAAGAGTTTTATAGGTTACAAACCACCCTTGAAAATATTAAGGTATCTAATCATTCTGAGTGTTGCTCAGTAAGAAAAGTGATAACATCAAACTGGTTTGACTACTGATTTAACTTTTTTGATTAAAGTTAAAATAATTACAGCAAGTGATTTAGTTATGAAAATAAAACATATCAAATAATATGCTCTGGTGTTACTCTTAAACTTGAAATTATAGAATCAGTTTAAAACATTCAGATGAGTTATGCTCTTCTGACCTTTTTTGGAATATTTCTATTTAATTCTCTTCTAGATCTAAAGGAAAGGAAAATGAAAGATTAAAAAATGTGGAGATGTCTCCAAGTTCAGAATTTGATAGAACAGTATAAATTTGAATTGGTAAAAGCTGTTTCCACACATTTGGAGTTTTTTGAACTGTATGGAACATTTGCAAATGTGAGTTTTTAAAATGTTCGTGAACAGAATTTTAGTAGAGTGGGAAAATTGAAGACATTTAGATTGTAGCAAGTACAAATATTTCTAATTTAAATAAAATTATGTATTATCTGAATTAAAAGGGATTATCTTTTTCTGATTAGATTTGCTATTCAAAGGAAAACATGAGCAGAGATAAGTTATGTGATTTATATTTGGAATGGAAGAGTGCTTCTGAAAAGCAGAATGTAGATCAGACTTAAAAACCGAGAGCATATTTAAATTTTATTAGATGAGCTTGGAATTTGTGGAAACCATAGGTGAATACTTCTAAAATATTCTTTTGCTTAATAAGGTTTTGTCCTTTTGTATGCTCCGTTTTTTTTGCATCTGTATGTAGGTGGAGAGTATTAATTCTTATTTTGAATCACTAACTACCTTTGAAAACCTAATTTCAGCTGTAGACTCAGAAAAATGTATAATCACATTTATATACCAAAATAATTA